AAAACCAAATGTATAAAAAATGTAAAAGGACAACAGAGGACATCTGAACACTTACTATCTGATTAGACATTTGATATTAACGAATTATTAATTTTATAGGTGATAATGGCATGAGGGTTATGTTAATAAAAAGGGGAAGCTCTGACATTTTTTAAATATCACAGTGTGGGCCGGGGAGATGGCTCAGTGGAATAAGCGCTTCCCTGGCAAGCGCAAGAGCCTGGGTTCAATCCCCGGTTCTGCAAAAAAAAAAAAAAAAAAAGAATGTCGCATAAAATATCACAGTGTTTATAAAAATTTTTCTAGTTTTTTGGTGGTACTAGAGATTAAGCCCAGGTCCTTTGCATTGAATGACATCTCCAGCCTTTTTATTTTATGTCCAGATGAGGTTTTACTACGTCACTAAGTTGCCTAGGCAAGGCTCAAACTTGTGATCCTCCGGCCTTAGCCTCTCAGCATGCTGGGGTTAGAAGCGGCACACGCCACCATGCCAGGACTTATGGACATGTGGCAACTTTCATCTGTTTAGCCAATCCAATGGTGGGACAGGGATAACAAATAGAATGGAAAAGGCCATGCCTTGCTAAGGTTAAGCCCAGGTGACAAGTGCAGGAGTTCTATTAAACTGTACTTTTATAGATGTTTAAAATTTTACCTGGAGCCTGGTGTGGGGGCACACCCCTGCAATCCCAGCACTCAGGAGGCTGAGGCAGGAGGATTACCATAAGTTTGAGGCCAGCCTGGGCTATATAGCAAGACCTTGTCCTCCAAAAAAATAATTTACATAATAAAAAAAATTTTTAAAGGACTATTTCTTTGTACAGGGAATTGAACTCAGGACCTTGCACTTGTCAGGCAGGTGCTGTGCCGCTGAGCTATACATACCCCCAGGCAAAAGGATTATTTGTAACTAAGCTAATTATATATCCATTTTGGCTATTAAACATCAATTCAGAATTAAACAGAAGAGATCATCACAATTTACAAACCCCCTCTTAGCTGATTCTACACAGTAGAAAAGGGGAAAATACATTAACTGTCAATTTATTATAAAGAAACTAGAAAATCCTTAGAATCTTAACAGTAGTGTTAATAAACTAATGAGTTGCAGTGAAATAATATATCTCCTAACTTAAAATTACTCAGCAAATGAAATACTTAAGTTAATAAGGAGAAAAACAGACTGCAGGAAAGCAAAAGGCATCCACATGCCCCGCCAGCAGTGCTATCTTTTGTGAGGAGCAAGCTGGTAAAAGACTGAACTCCATAACAATTTGAACCTAACAGAAACATGAGTTACCAAGGGCTTAAAAGCATATTATAAAGACATATTATCAAGAAGTCGGACCAAACAAATGTCCAACATTGCCTTAAACATTTCTTGAATATTTACCCTGTTAATACAAAGCAAAGCCCCTTTAAGTTTCTTCCCTGCCTCAAGAACAATGGTTCCAACAGCTCTGGTAAACAATACAACTGACATTAAACTTCTTCAATGTAAAATAAAAGAATAAGGAAAAGACAACTATACTAAGATAAAAGAGGAAAGGTTATTAGGTTACTACAAAAAAATCTGGGTAATTGTTACTCTAGCCCTTGCTTCTACTTCGGAAAACACAAAACTCTAGGCCTCAACCTTCCACTTACAGAAGCAGGCAGATACGTCTCCCCCAGTTCTACTTCCAGAGCGTGCGGTATCCATCCACAGTCCCTTCCTGCTTTAAATGAAGACTCCTTGAAACTTAGCAGACATGTTTGACTGGAAGAGACCAAATGTGCGAGCAGGCATGAGCATGTGATCAAGGCTGTGGTGAAAAGTTAACATCGGGTTACAGCTTCCTGAAGCCCGCGTCCATACCCGCTACCTCTCCTCTGCACTGCAGATGCTCAGCTCCAAGGAGCGGCTGGAACTGTCAGCCTTCTTAAATAGGAGATCGTATCTTGTGTAATCAGAATCTTAGACTTTCTCACTATACTGAAACTAAACAATCCTCAAGGGTTCAAAACTATACTCTGATGTTACCTTGTTACTGAACAGCAGATAAGTGACTGAAAAACATAGTACTGGAGTGAAATAAACAGTAGGGGAAAAAGCACAGCGCTCGCCTCGGCAGCACATATACTAAAATTGGGGAGAAAAGCACCTATCACGTTCATACCATTTTCCTGAGAATAAGAGTCTAATATTTGCACTTTTTCCTCTTAATAAGGTAGTTTGCATATTTAGCATAAATCTCCTAAGTTCATTCCTCCCTCATTCTTTCATTCAGCTGATAAGCACTCAACACTAAGTGGTGGACAAAGGTGCCAGTGGAAAACAGAAAAGATTCCTACTTTAACAAAGCTTGTTCAAGATAAATGGTGAAAAGAAATAGATATTTATGGAAGGAAAAACAGGTAAACAACTTAGCTACTCTTTCACTGAAGATACCTACTCACCATCAAGAATGTAAATCAGTTGTAATTAAGTGCTTCTATTAAAGGCTCTGGCCAGGCATGGTGGTGCAAGCCTACAATCTCAGCACTTGGGGAACTGAGGCAGGAGGATCACTGGGAGCTCAAAACCAGCCTGGGTTACAAAGTGAGCTCAAAGCCAGCCTTGAGCTGCACAGCAGGGAGACCCTGTCTCTAACAGACCTAAATAGTGCTGGGGAGATAGCTTGGCGGTCTAAGTGCCTGCCTGCCAAGCACAAGGATCAGAGAGTTCAATCCCCAGTACCACATGCTGTGCCAGCCCCAGAACCCCATATTGATTAGTGGCTAGAAGAACTGGTGGCACACGCCTGTAATCCCAGTGCTGGGGAGGCTGAGACAGGAGGATCACTACAAGTCTGAGCTGCATAGCAAAACCCTGTAGTGAAAGAAAAAAAAGAAATAAAATGAAGGCTCGGAACAAAAACTAGAAAAGCTGAATAGTTGCACTGCAACTATATCAACTGCTTCTACCATTATTAGTGAAGTTTTTTACTTGTGTTTAATCCCAATTAGAAAAACAGTGATACCTTGTATTGTCAACGTGAAATTTATTTTTATACACTAAAGTTGAACATAAATGACTATGAAAATCAAAGTGGTTTGGTGAGCTTATAAAGGAACTTATAAGCTAACTGGATCCATAGCATAGGAATAATCTAGGCAAATCAAGATCTTATAGATTAGTCAACAGAAGAACTGAAAATTCCGGCATCTAAATGAAGCATCAGAAGATTAGGGAAAGGCCAGAGTAATTTCTAAATATCCTCAAACGTCAGTGAAAATGTTTATACGTCACATCTACTAATAAAAAATACTGGGGAGTTAGCAATTACAGATGCAGAAGTTTATATACACGCGCAAAAGAAAATACATGCTAACGGACATTGTGGAGGAGGTAACAATACAATGGAAGAGTAAACTAGAGGGGTACACAACAAGCTGTCTAAGAGGAGCAGAACAAGATCCAGGGCAGAAGAGCAGGGCCAGCAGCAATGCTCCTTACGTTCTGATGCATGCTGACTAAGGGCTGAGAAAGCTGAGAAAATGATGGCTTTCACATTTTCCTTAATTGACATCTGCACATCAAAGAGGTCACGATATACTTAATGTTCCACGAAAGATACAATTTAAGCACTTCAAACATGAATCCCTTGAAAAAGACACTTCACAAAGTGATTTGTGCAAGGGCCACGAAATGCACTGCAATATAAAGTAACTGTGGCAAAATGTGCATATACAAACCAATCAGCACATATGCTCCACGTGAAGACTATGGTGTTTCAACGTATGTAATACATCAAAAATGTTAACTTCATTAAAAAAAATAATCAATGGGGGGGCCGGGGAGATGGCTCAGTGGAATAAGCACTTCCCTGGCAAGTGCAAGGGCCTGAGTTCAATCCCCGGTTCTGCAAAAAAAAAAAAAAAAAATCAATGGGCTATGCTTAACACAAGCACACACAGTTATTAAATATATCAAAATTTGATTATGTATATATGCCTGTCAGTAGTGACTAAACCAATAAACTTTATATCATGTTGATTATTGAGTATTTAAAAAATGACAATTGAATTTATAAGCCCACTTTTTCATATTAACAGAATAGGAATAACAAACCTGGTGATAGTAGCTAATGTCATTATTCAATTTCAATAAAGATCAAATAGTAATTTTTTAAGTAAATCAACTTTAAACAATAGACGTGGCCGGAGAGATAGCTCAGAATAAGTGCTTCCCTGGCAAGCACAAGGGCCCAAGTTCAATCCCCGGTTCCACAAAAAAATTAAAAATAAAAAACAATAGCTGGCCTAATTGAAAATAAAGCACAAATGGCAGCTTCCAATTTTAAGGTTCAATATCTATTTCAGGGAACCCCAGAACATCTGTAAGCTTTAAACAAAATTCTGAGTGTTGGCTTTCATCAGATCCTTAACTGGGTTTATACTGTAAAAACGGAGTTAGCACGCTCAGAAGTGATGCTCTGCTGCCAGCAGAACCATTTCACGAGAAGTCAAGGTACTCAACTGCAAATACCTGAACGCTAACAACTGCATTCCCACAGTGTACATTTTCTTCTCCCAAAGCGGTTTCTAACAAACAAACAGCAATAACAACAAAAACAATGCTGATACTAAAGCCCATCGAGCTGAGAGATGTCTTAGAATCTATGTTCGATTTTCTGCTGTAGCCAAGACCAGAAGAAAATCAGTAAACTTGAGCACTCCCGAGAAGCGAGAGCGGCATTCACTTCCCCGGGCGTCTCCTCGAACCCTTTCAGAGGTCACGCGAGGTCCTACCCAGCCAAGCCGGACACCTGGCCGCACCGCGAAGGCGAGCCAAAGGCCGCTCCCCCGGCGAGAGCGGGTCCCGGCAGGCGGCAGGCCGGGGCGCGGGGCGCAGAGCCCACGGCCGGGCTGGCGGGCCGGCCAGAGGCGGCGGCCCAGGTGAGCCCGAGCGCCCGGGGAGAGCGACGTGGCACTCGGCGGCGGCCCGCCCGCTTCCGCCCGGCGCTTCCCTCGGTTACCAGTTGCTCCAGATGCCGTACAGCAGCTCCACGAAGGCGAAAGAGAGATTCAGGCACAGGAAGAAAAACAGGTTCCGAGACGTCTTGTCCGACAGGATGGACCTGGAACGACACGGCCGCGAAGAGGGGGAGTGAAGGCAAGCGCGGCCGCCGGCCCTCGCCCCGGCCCACGGGCACGCCGGGGCCGCGCGCGGCGCCGCCATCCCGGCCCGGAGCCCCCGCCGACAGCCCAACTTCCCGCGGCAGCACGCGCACCTAAACCAGCCCGAGACCTTGCCCAGCAGATTGAACTTGGGCGGCTTGTACTCATCGTCCTTGATGGACAGGGGCAACATCTTCGCCCGGCAAAGGGCCGGGCCTACTCTCTAGAAGCGTCTCCGTGAGGTGATGGTCGTGACAGCAGCGACGCCTCAGACGTAAGCCCCTGAGGTGGACGGCGGCCGCGCGCCGCAGGGAGCCACAGACCTAGCCACACGCCCCGGAGCTCGCCTACTTCCGGCTCGGGCCGCGCGACGCGTCCTGGGACTGGAAGGGGGCGTGTCTGGGGCGGGACCTCGTCGTGGGGCGGGGCCTACGTCGGGGCGTCTTGGGCGGGTGTTCTAGGAGGACGCGAAGGGGCTTGTTATGGGCGGGGCCTCGCCGTGGGGCGGGGCTTCGCCGTGGGCGG